TCAATTTTTATGTTAAAGTTTAAACCTAAAAATAAAGTTTACCTAAGATTGATTACTTTTGTTCAAAGCAGAAAATGTCTGAGATTAAATGTTGTTTCGATTTTATCATACTTGTAACAACTTAGAAGCGTTTATCCTCGAGCAAATTTGGTACTGTTGATGACGTTTTATATCTAAATAAATACGAATACGCAGGGTATGGTATGGTAATTGATCAAGTTTTTACGGTACTGTACTGTACTTTCATCCTGAATCGATTTAAAAAAAATCTTTAATCACAGTATTTTTTATTTATATATTTTTCATTTGTGCAAATAGATGACGGTGTGTTCATGGAAAACGAAAGGGAGAGACAAGAGTATGTATTGAATGACACCGGCAAGATTTACGTGGGCTCATTCAAACAAGCCAGGGGACGGCGATGGGTCTTTGCGCAGTTCGACGATACCGTGCTGCCCGCCTCAATCATGGCCCTGGAGCTCGCCAAAATGTCCTCCGCCGATAGATCCAGTCCCATCAAAGTCGCCAGGGCCATTTCCGCAATTGTAATTACAGTATAATCCCACTTGCTGGTTATAGATTTTTCTTTCTTCAAAGTACTATGTAATAAAAGAAAGCACTTGAGACAAGAATAAGACAATTTTTGCCCCAAAATTGGTGAATTCTATTATAGAAAGTTGAGCGCTTGAAATTCTGAAATTTAGGCCATTGCATTATGAAATAAGTAGTTTGGTCAAGGTTTATTATTGAGGAGAATTTATATTAGAATTTATATTAATTCAAATTTTCAAAACTAATTTTAAACCAAAAGAAATCTGTTTGGTGTATTTTGTCTGTTGGGACTGGGAGGGAGGAAAAACTGCCTGCAGAGCTGGTCTGTTGGGCAAAAATCTCTTACACAGGATGTCTGTTAGGCGGAGGGCACTGCACATTATGCAGCAGAAAATTTCCTGAGGACCAGCAAAAAATTTTCTACGGACCACGGGTTGGGCAACACTGGTGTAGATCCCTGAGTCACAATAATTTAGTGGCTAAATATATAGAGATACTGCTGTACTTTGCTGGAATAAAAGCTCATAATTAGTGGGACCCCAAGATACAGACATAATTGGTGCATCAAGAGTGTCCCCAAGTCAGCATGTCCCTAAGTAGAGTCTTGTTTTCCCATAGACTTACATTATATAATTTTCAATTGGTGTTTTGTGGAAGAAATTTTCTTCAGAATTCCCTGAAAAATATTGTTTGCCACTTGAATTTGAATTAGTCATTACATTTTCAACTCAGTAAGAACATTTAGAGCATTGAATAGTGTATCTCTGTATACTGTACACTGGAATTTTGGCATCTGCAAAAATAATGTTCAAGTGAAAAAAAGTAGAAGTCCCTCTATATGCTGGAGGTAATTTTTTTAATTAGCTAAATGGATGTTACTTTGGTGAGAGAAATGCCCAAGAACTTTTCTTACATCAATTCTAGGGTTGGAAATATCTGTTTCTTGTAATTTGGCCTGAAATGTGTTTGCAATTTTATCAGAAAATGTCCCTATGTCGAGTCAGTGTCCTCATGTCAGGCCTTATTCATTGATTTTTTCTGGGAAAATAAGTGTCCCTATGTCGAATTGTCCGCATGTGGGGGTCTCACTGTAGAGTACTGTTTACTAAAATGTGATCCAACGCACAGACACTCCAACTTGTGGATAAGATTCAAAAACACCAGTTATGTCCACATTTCTGAGCACCACAGTATTTTCTTCCCTTATTTTGAAGGAAGGGTCAGGTTTTACTTGTTCCAGAAGAGCATCGAAATACGAAGAAGCAAGTAAAAAATAAGAATACAGAACTAAAAAAAATGCTGGCATATAATCGCTGGAAATCAGTCCTGAAAAACAGTATGTTGAAAGCATGGTTGAATTTCAAATAAAACTTCGCGTGTTATTGTGATGAGGATTGAGTTTTTCAGATTTTGTTTTATTTATTCCCATAATAGAGATTCTGCGAGCGTTGAAAAGAAAGTCATAGCATATATGATGCTGATGGCGGAAGAATGTTCTCATCGAGTCAAATTCCATCTGTCCATCATTCAAGTCCCACTTCTGCATTTGGCTCGGCATTTTTCACTTCTTGTTGAAAAAAGGATCAATTGGTCCAGGTCTTGGATATGGACACGGATCCCTTACTGGCCCAGGTCTTGGAAATGGAAATTGATCCCATGGCCCAGGTCTTGGAAATGGAGAGCAATCAATGATAGTTCCCACTGATGGCGAAAGCGGATTTGAAGGATGTAACATTGGTTGTGGGAAACATCCACCTTGTACCACGTCCTTGGTCACGTTTCGTGAATTGTTCATTTTGAAACGTTTTCCTGCAAGAAATCAGCGACATATACGAGAGAAGATCATGAAATAGATTTACTAAAAATAATTAAAAATTCTGCTTTAAAAAATACATATATACACTCACGATTTAAGTCGTTATATTTTTCACACTTATTTTTCCACTGAAGAAATTGCTCGATATACTCGTGTGTCGACTGCTGTATGTGACCCGACGTCGGGGTTTTATTCACTCTTCTGATGTAATGTGAGTGTCAAATGGCCTCAACTGTGTCACTTCGCACTGAAATTGCATCATTACTGCATACACTAAACTAAACGGTCTCAACGACGAGTTACACGTTTCCGCGCGGAAACGGTGGTAAATGATTCTGAACACCAAGGATTTTTGGAAACATTTTTCTCGTCTTAATTAGTTTCAAGAGACTATCGGCGGACACCTTCGCAATGTAATCACCACAAATTTTTACAAACATATCAGCCATTTGGATCCATGTGTTGAAACTACAGACTTCGAAAAATTTCCAGTTTACTGTTAAATTTTGAAGCTTCCCCAATAAATGGCAGCAATTAACAAGCTGATCCGCGCGGAACCGTGTAACCCCTCGTATCGAGATGATCAAAGTCATTATTAATTCATGGAAGCATCCCGTTTCGAGGTTAAAATTTGCTCATGGTTTCAAACCGAAACAAAGATTTTGCAATTATTATTCATCATCAATCCTTTCCAATAATATGTGTGATATCAAAAGTCCTTTTTTCAAAATAAATTCCTTCGCCAATAATCTGGAATGCAAAAAAAAGTATTAGCAACTGAATAATAGACGGTTTATCCATGAAAAATGGCGCTAAACGATGAATGACTAGAACATATAGTGATGAAACGTAAAAGATTGCCCGTGTATAACTGAAATTAAAAATGTTAATGAAGTTCAAAATTATTATTTTTCTGTAAATTACGAGTATCATCAAAAAATGTTTCACTCACGTGGAAGGTGCGGAAATGTTATTTTCGCCTGAAAAAGTGTTCAACAAGTTTAGAATATTATCGCCAATTATTATTATTCAAGATACTCAATTGATTGACGATCGTCGTATTGGATACAGCAGTACTTTTAAATTTTCTAAAAAATACGTGAGGTTTTGTTCGGTTATCCATTTTATTCTCTTCGTCCTTTTTCTACTTAATGCATTAAAAAACACGCTTTCGAGGATCCTGTCTGACCTTTTCAAATGACGCCTTTTTTGTGGAACTTGCGTGATTGAAACTAGTATACAGAACTGTTATTGTTTTAGGGAAGTGCCATGAATCACTCACTCAACTCATTCCACGGAAGGGATGACTCGCTGAAATATTTCAAGTTAAGCTGAAGCAAAAAACAAACGTAATTCAACCCTGCATGACGAAAATACGAGTGAAATTTGACGCGGAGGTTTCATCAGAAAACCGGATATAATAACCCTGGTTTCGCACTGAGGTCGACATATACCACACGGATCGATCAGTCTTGAAACCTCTTTAAAAAAAGTTCTGAACTCTCAACTTCGAACTAAATCGTAAGTAGACTTTAACATATTTTTTTCCGGAATGGGTGTATCTTTAAAAATTTAACATTCATTTCATGTTCTTCGCAGAAATATATAAAAAATAATTGGACATCAGGATGAATGGTCCCGTCTGGAGTATCTTCAGCAGCAAGCCCGACAAGTTCGAAGGCTGTTGCAAAATCGAAATAACCCAACAAGACGACGTTCCCTTTTTCATCAATAAGCCTTTAAATCCTGTGATGATTTCAAAGTTTCCAATCCGTACGACATGTGGTTTTCCGGTCATCTTTCCATTATTCAAGAAGTGAAAAACATGTCTGTTCCTGGATTATACTAACCTGATGTGGAATCCATAAAAAAATATTTCCTTATAGTCTCTGTGTGTAGAGCGAAATATTTGTGAACCTTGAAATGTTGAGAAAATGTGTGTTTTTTTTTTAGGACATTAACTTCCAACAATAAAAGATTGACAGAACAAAAACTATTTTTTTTATTATTTGAATGGATCACGCTTACGCATAAATTATTATAATCATTTTTCTCCTCGTCAAAAAACATGAAACTTTCTCCAATTCGTCTTTTTTCTGCACATCCTTCTTTACTTTGTACTAGGGCGTAACAAAAAATTAAAACTTGTATTGGTGTTTTCTGGTCTCACCCTAAAATCTAAATTAACAAAAGTTGCAGAAATTTCCCGGAATATGATTCATTCATTGAGTTGTTTCTAACATATGATGTAGTTTAAGGTTTTACTGTAGATTCTCTGCTAATGAAATTTTGGCAGTTTTTAGTTTTATTTCTTTTATTTTTAGATTCTCTTGCTTCTGTAAATGTGTGTAGTGAATATATTTTTATGAAACTTCGTAGATGAGTCGAGTTTTTTGGTTAACTTATTCATAGTTAGTTTATTGTCGTCAGATAATATTCCTGACAATGATTTTTTTTTGCTTGCATTCTTTAGTAATTTCGGAATAATGCTGATATTTTTCAGTGTTTCTGTCCTCCTGAAATCCCAAGCAATACAGTGGTGTCAGTTTTAAGAAAAAACGCCCCGAATCTTGTTTGTATGAAACAGCAAAGTTTTCTTTGAACAAAACGGAGTGAAGCAGAAACATTGAAATTTGTAAAAGCGATTTTTTATGGCTCAAACTTAAAATAAACGAAGGTACAGTATTTTACAAACAAAGCTTCCCTGTAGAATCTTTCAATTGTTTCAAGGTTTACACACACACACACACTCTCATTTCCATCTCGACACTTTTTTTCTTTTTGTTGCCCGTCGACTCGATCACACGACACCTTCTTCCAGTGACGACAAGTCGTCAGGGGGAGGAGGAGGCGGACGCGTCGGCCTCTGCGTTTTTTTCTCGTCACTTTCAGCTGATGTCGATGCTGACGTCGTCGTGGCATTGCCAGTACTTCCTTCCGGCTCAAGGTGCTCTTTCGCATCCGGTTCGTCGTCGATGACGACGCCGTCGTAGCGCTGTTTGCTCCGCTGCCAGCTCATGCTGCGGAAACTGTGTCGCAAATAGTCGGCCATGCTGGAATTGGGTGCGAATTTTTGGCCGAAGCACCAGAGGTTCCTGCTTTTGGCGATGACGAGCACGACGATAATGACGACAGCTGAGATGCAGGCGAGGACGACGGCTGCCACGACGCCTCCGGATAAACCGGCTGTTTGAGTACAGGGGGAAATAGCGGGAGCCATGATTTTTATTGCCAAATATTTTTTGTTTTGTTTTTGGCAAGTGTCCCAAATGATTTTGATATTTCATTTCGTATATTTGAGATTACTGTATTTTTCTTTTTTCGTTTAATTTGACGTAGTTGGAGTTGAAGTAATTTTTTGAGTGATTTTACAGGCAGCACGAATTCAAGTTTTTTGGTTTCCGAATTAAAAAGTAGTGCAAACGAAATGTTGAAAGTTTCGCTTTTTTTAAATAACACTCGATTGCACTCAAACACCTCTTTCATTCTGATTTCAATGGAACAGCAAAAGCATTTTTAATAGAGATTTTTTTTAATGTTTCAAGTTAGTAAAACAGGCATTTTTGCTGTGAAAAATAAAACAGATTGGCAGGAAATTTTAATTGGTGATATTTTAGGCCTTGGATTATTTTTTAATAAGTGAGTTGGAAGGATGCTGAACTTATAGAGGCAAAGGCTCATTCGTCAAATTAGCCTTTAACTTATTTTCAAAATGTATTTAATTTAATTTCCATCGCTTTTCTTTTTTCTGCATCAATAAAATAATAGACAAAAGGTCTCAAGAAAATTCGAGTTGGACGGAGAAAGCCTGTGAGTTAAGGAGATTTAATGCATGGTTTCTAAAGGAAATTCAGACTCGGGATTTTGAAAATTTTACGTTGAGAGCGATACATCTTCAAAATTTGACATGGTATGCACGGATTCTGTAATCTCTCACTTGAAATCGTGCGTTATTTTTTTTTTTCAAGGGATGAATATTATTAATCAATTTCATTTTTTTTTAAATGCTTCATTTACCTTCTTTAGCTCCAGGTAAACTTTGTATTTTGAAAGTATACCGCATGTAAGCAGTATTTCTCGGAGAAACCCCGGGTTTCTCAGCTGGCAACAGCGTTTGGTCCAAATTTATCCTCTGCTGCTGCTGCTGCTGCTGTTGATTATTCCAGTTCCTGTCGGGTTCGCCTTGAGGAGCCTCGAACCCATTGGACACCTCTAACGCAAACCCATCCCCTTCTTTCCGCGTTGAGTATCCCTTGATGCTAAGGTTAGCCCAGTACAGATCAGAACGATCCCAGTAACCCAGCGGGTCATCAATGTCGGCCTTGCCCCACGTAGACGAGTAGCCCTTGGAGGACGCGACACCTATGAGAGGCTGCGACAATTGCGGGATGATCCAACGCACTTCTGTTGGCTCAGGGTGCGAGGAGAACAATATGGAAACCCTTGCGGTTTTGCCGGTGTGGAACAGGAACGATTGTTGATCGCAGATGAACGAGTCGACGATTGAGAAGGAATCCGTGACGGTGTCGTTGCACTGACGCACTCTCGGAGAGCCTAAAATACGAATTATATGTTCAACAGGAATTTCGTGAGAACCGTTTCAAATTTCTGAATCTCATAGGAACTACAGTATTGTATATACAGTACCATATACAAGTACCGTATATTATAACCTCTTGAAGTTAAACCTTGAGGGACCAGTCAGCAAAAAATAAAAATAAAAATTAGTCAGCGAGGTTTTGAGTCGGGGAGAAAAGCCTTTTGTTGAGGGGAAATGAAGAAGATTTGCAGAAAATTGTAATTGGTGAGATCCTGGGTTTTCACTTGTTTATTGAATGAGTTGACAGGATGTTGAACTTGTAGTTTATTATACCACTATCTTAGTCTTTCATTTCCTTTTAAAAGACATAAATTTACATTTTTACTGCTTTTCCCTTTCTGTGTCAAAATATGTAGCCAAAGGGCATCCAGACAATTTCAGTTATGTAGGCTTATTGAGGAAGACAGTGTTGGTGTTATTGAGTATTGGAATGTATTTTTTCTGACGGAGTTATTGCAGACTTGGGTAATATTTGACTAAGACAGGTTTGAGTTATTCTCATTGAACTGTACTGTACTGGCAGATTATTCTCAAAATTTTTTCCTTCTCCTCATTTGGACTCAATTTGCAGGAGTGAATACACAAAATCTTATATAAATTTCAAAGTTGGCCATAATGTTTTTTTTTACTTATTTGAAAGTTGTATACAGTACTCTTCACATCTTCATGCAGACAGCTTTAAGATAAGATGATGAGTTCAATTTTGGGAGCAAAAAGTACCAAATATTTAAATGACTGATATAAAGGTATACAGCTTATTCTCAAGCACCATACATATTTTGCCATGTTTGAGAATGCCACAAATATGTGCATGTTCACAAAGATTCACGCATATTTATTTTATATTTTGGCCAAATGAACAGCTTGAACTTTGTATTACTGTATATTGTATTTGCCTAAAAGGTTTTCTTTCTCATGTTTTCCCAACTGTGAGTTATTTTGAATGTAATGTAAATTAGGTTTTAAAAAATGATTTCTTGCTTACAAATACTTCATGCAAGCCATTTTTACATGATAAGATGTCTGAAAAACATCACTCCCTCTTCTTTTACAGTCAGTAAAATGGAAGAAGATGATATTCACCTCTCACATTGCACTTGGCCTCAGTGGAGCATTCGTTTTCTTCAAGAGCAGCATGAGTCGCATAGCATCGCAGTTTGTTGGAATTCATTCCAGCGTCCATTTGCAAAACTATGGTTGAGTAACAGTCATAGAGCGGCAACTTCTTGTCCCCTTGAGGGTCGTCAAGCAACTTGGTCCAAGTCACTTGGTCTTGCATGATCGGCTCCAAATGCAAGTCATTCTCAGAAGCTGTAAATCGAAGTTGTTCAAATATATTGTGGTATTTTTGGAATTTTAAAATGTTGATGTAAAAAGTAAATGGGAAAAGCTTACCGAAATACCATTCAAAAGCCGGACATGGCCTCGTTGCTCGGCTCACGCAGGTGAAATTCCGAACTTCCTGTTCTTGGGCCTCAATTACTGTGATCTGGGAACGTGTGTCAGTTATTGGCATGTAAGAGTCCATGTGCATTGTGGGTCTAGGGGGATTTGGTTTCACTGCCAAATAAAAGCACATGATAAACGATTTCAACTCATGTGTGAAAAGTTTCAGAATATAGACAGCTGACGCTCTCTTGAATTTTTTCCTGATTTATAGATTGTTCAACTGTGAACCTGCACTACTTGAATTTCTGTGATTCAAATTCAAAATGACTCATAAAAATGTTGACTTACGCAGCTTTAAAGTTGCGGAATTTGGAGCTCTTTTTGAAGAATATTGGAAGGATCTCTTTTTCTGGTCAAATCACGAGAACTACTGTACTTGTTTAGTCAAAACTCATCAAGTCGCACTTCAAGTTGACAGCATCCAGAGATTTTAGTTTGCCAGGTTTTTAGTAAGGGAAACAAGCATTTTTTGTTGGAATTAAGAAAGAAGAATTTCAGGAAGTTTCAATTACTGATACTCTGGACCATAATTAAATTGCTTGTTGTATGGATCTGAATTCGGAAGGAAGGGTTCATTTTACTAATTAGTCTTCCACTTCATTTCAAAACACATCAGGATACATTTTTCTTGCTTTTCTCTTTCCTGTGTCATTAAATTGATAGCCAAAGGTCTCCAGAAACTATGAATGAATGAACAAAAAACTTTATTTGCCGCTTTTCAGCGTTCACAAGGAATAACCAGAACTCCCGCATCCAAACCCCCTCCCCACCCAACCCAACTCCCCCAAATACATTCAATCATTTCAAAGCATTAAACAAAGCACAAACGAATGACAAAAATAAAAGAGAAGACCTCTGAAAGACCAAAAACTAATAGAATTATTGAGTTTCAAGGGAAAAGCCTTCAAGTAGCTAAAAGGAATGTTTTTTAATGCTTCTTTCTAAAGAAATTTACACAGGGACTTGGAAAAATTATACCTGGGGAGATATTTGACAGAGGGAGGTTCAAGTTTTTTACATTATGAGTTTCAAGTCAATAGATTCATAGATTTTCCACCTCTACAAAATTATGGGAATCCTGTTTAAAAACATTAAATGTATTAATTTCATTTTTTTCTTCATTGTCTGGATCAGGTATTTCAAAATTTAACTCAAAATTAATTGAAAGAAGATTTCCATTTTTTTACTAAAGCTGTTTTGAATATGCGAATTGAAGAATGCATGGTCATGGGCCATATAGGAATAAATTTCCAAGGTGCCTGCCTTTTATTTTCTAACTATTATTATTCCATCAGAGGAAAAACTAAATAAAATAGTCATCCAGGACAAGGCACTGATTTTAAAAAGCGCTGTTTTCTTTTTTGAAGGGGAAGAAATATGTAAAAAGATTAAGGTTTGTTCATTGCGCTAACCTGCCACAGTGAGATTGAGCCAGACCAGCTCGTCACTCGGTATGTTCTCGTTCTTCTCCATTATGGGATTGCAGGCCCAGTCGCCATTATGCAGTCGCTCATCCACTTGCTCAATGTAGAAGCTGCACGTGCCGCGGTCAGACGAGGAGCCCACGGCCACGATGCCCGAGCTGGAGGGCGCGAGTCGTGGCGCCACCTGTTGGCGGGGCCCAGACCACACGCAGCCCCCCGTTTCAAAGGCTATGTTGTCTTCCATGATGCATGTGAAGTTCACTCGTTGTCCGGCTCTCACGACGCTGGGCTCTATGATAGTGGATCGGATCCCTGCGGCTGCCTGGGCAATGCCAATCAGTCCAGCCCATGATATTATGGTGGCCATCCCTGTCAGCAAACATGTTTATACCATGAGGAACATGGATATTGTGAAAGTTGAACACCAACAATATAAGAAAGTGCCCTGTAATTTTTTTGGTTGATTTTTTTGTAAAATGTGCTCATACAAGGACCACAACCACAGTTTTTCCAAAACAAATTGGGTGCGTGGCATATGTGGGGTTGCGTACACGCGGTGTGACCCAAGCGTAGCATCCTTGCTTGGGCATGCATACATCACACGTAGCAGCAGCCCGTGGACCTGGAAGTGGATTGGCACCCAGTTTACCACAATGTGGCAAACCAGGTGATTACAATAAGGATCTGGGAAAACAGAAACCCCAGCAAAGTCTCCAAAGACTTCACTTCTCTGAGAGCATTGCCTGATGGCTGTTGGTTACTTTGGTTCTTCTGAGGATTGTCTTGTCTGATTGACGTGTGGTGTGTTGTGTTTGTCGGAGTCTTTTGTAGAGTTATTCCTTCTATGGTTGCCTGTGGGTAGCTGAAGTAAATGAGTGCATCTTTAAGGGACTCCCTTCTGGAGGATCTGGCCTATTGAAGGCTGAACGCGATTTACTTTCTTTTCCAAATTCCTTGTCATTACCGGCCTGACAGCATAGCATGAATAGCAGGTGTACCAGCATATTTACTTATTGGGTACCATACTCACCCTCATGAGTATGATGTGCACCAGGGTACTTCAGTCAAAAAACATTTATTACAAGTTTGAATCCTGCAAGTAAGATGCATTGGATTTAGACATGATTTGATCCTGAATTCATGGGAAATAATTTTCAGTTCTTTCCATTGCAGCAAGTTTTTCTATGAAGATTGGTCCAAAACTTTCCATTAGAATCAAATATAATGCTCACCCTGAGCTTCTACAACTTTAAAAAAGGTATACAGAAGCCATCTATGATGCATACTCTCAATTTTGAGAAAAAGGTGCACAGGGTACTTGAGTAA